AAGTAGCATTACTCTTCTGGATATGGGCAGGAACATTTGACTCACATAGAAGTGAATTTTGTGTTGTATGAGAAAAAGTGGCAGAGACTTCAAGAAAAAGGATGCCAGGTTAAACTGTTCAAGTGGAGAAACTTGGGATAGAAGTTTCATGTTTCAGTCACACGAAAAAATAAATAGTTCCAGAACCAATCTACTGAGTACATAACAAGACAACATTTTGTCTATGCAAAAGTCATTTTTGCAGGCTCTCAGTTTCTCCTTGTTGCCTATTTCAATTATGTAAGACAAAGAGAGCATCATCATTTAAAAAGGCATAATCTTAAAATACAGCCTAGTTAATGCATGGTGTGATCAACACATCCAAACAGATGCTACAGGCACATGTATGCAATGAGTCATGCTATTTCCTGAAGTTCTGAAGAACCACATTATCACTGGCAAAGAGTTTATTTCTGTTTCCAGTGATGTCAGTAAGAACACCGCCCAAGTTAGTGTGCATATACACATTTCTAAGTAGATTGCACAGGTACATAGAGAAGATCCCATATAATCCACGCTTATTTCATGAAGAAAAAATACAGTGTGTAGCATTCAACTGCCTTCTACCTCTTTTATTTCCAAGACTGTTATTGTTCAAACTTGTGTATTTTCGCCTTTTTTTTTTTTGCAATTTCTCCATTGCCAGTGAGCCCATCACATGTATAAATCAGCACAACTTAGTGAAATTAAAGTTTCTCAACTCTGCAATTATTATTGAATCAGTTACTTAGAACTGCCTATATATGTTCACAAGAAGATTCGCATGGAAAGCCAGTTTTTCTACTTGCTGCTTTAGCAATTGAAAAGGGAAAAGACTATGGCTGAGTATCCAACTCCTTCTAGAACTTTTTAAGCATTGTTTCAAAGTAGGGTATTTTTATTTATAATAGTTACAGACAACTCGCATAGAGCACACAGATATTTCTCAAAAGGAGTATATGTAATGACAATACTTAAAGGATACCATGGCTATTTCTTCAATTACGTTAAGTATTAAATCAGCAGCTGCACAATGCTTTTTACACAGCATAAACACACATTACTTTCTAAGATCACCACATTAAAGTCTCCCATCTAAAATTCAAAAACCTTTCCACCCACAAAGAAAATTACCTTTGGCTTATAAACATGTAAGCATTGCAGTTTCACAGAAATCTTCACAAAAAAACTTGGAATATGTCTAAAACAGTTACTAACTAGCCAGCCTATCAATTATGTCATGCTATTACCTCAATCACCTAACAAGATTTACAACGGGGATTTATTGATCCTCCAGCAAATGTATGGGTGATGGGCATTTATTTATATGTGAGAGGCTAGGAATTTTTTTGATGCTTTGAACGCAGAAGAAATTTATCTTTGATTGGCTTGTACAGTCACGAGAGGTGTACATAATTTTCAGAAGGTATAAAAATACTGTATTATTTTTGCAATCTCTAATAAAATAAATATACAGATACATCCATATATTAAATACTATTAAACGCTCTATAAGGAACAGTGAAAGTCATCACACGATATTTCTGCATCATAATATACAGCAAAAGAGAAAGAAAAAAAAAAAAGGCAGAACAAAAAGGCAGAAAACTGCTGCTTTGTTTCACTGCATACAATGTATTAAGAGACATTTTCATACCAGCACAGTTACAGTCAAGATGAATGGAGATGAGTATTTTTTTAAGCAGGAGCCTAACATCAGGTGTCTTACTCCACATGTGCTTACTTGGCTCATCCTGATATATGAAAGGCACAGAAGAGTTTTCTATATTATGTTGCTTATTTACAAGGAAGGTACACATGCAAAGAACCAGAGAGGGATCATTAAAAGATTATCACTCAGGAAGAAAAAAATTGCTGGGAGATATTTTTAGACAGTTGTTGAAAAATCTTCAATTATTTTAGTTTATCTTTAGCATCTATTTAGTTTACACCTGCAGAAAACAACTTGGAGGAAAGTGCTCTATTTAAAAAAAAATGCACCATTCTGCTTAAGAGACAAGACTAAAAAAGAATCTCTATACTCATGACTGAATTCAGTAAAAGCAGTTTTACTGAACACAAGGGTAGCCTGCATTGTAGAAATCTGTTCAGTGTGAGTAAACTCTTAAAATACATATTACTCTTTTTTTCTGAAACAGTATTCAGCAAAACAAGGAGTTGCTGCTACTGATATTTCTAAGATGAAAATCAAGAAATAAAATTAAAGATCAAACCACTCAAGCTCACAAGCTTTCATTAGTCAGCAGATAAAAAAAAACACAATCTTTTTAAACTTATCAACTCACAGAAAGACTACAGCAAATGCAATTCTGAAAATTATTTCTACATTACATTTAACAAGTAAATTGTCTAAATTCTTCATAAAACATGTAAGATTGGGTAAGTAAAATTATCTTAACAGATGCAATACATGACCATTAACTGTATCAAACAGCTAAACCGTGATTTCATTTGATACTAGGAATATTAGTTAATTACTTTGAGGCAGCAGAATGACTTACAAATGCAAAGTTAAGCATTATTCTCATACTACAATAGAACAGTATTTTAAGTCAGAACTGCTGGAGATATGAAGTTCCATGTACTACAACATCCATTAAAACTGAAGGAGTCTTTCCAAACAAATTAATAAATTAAAATTAGACTATTTTATGTTATAGATGAGTAGAATTTTTCCTATAAGCAGTGACTGCTAATTGTAAGCCTTAAATGTCACTTCAGACCATCACCTAAAATCTTAGCAACAGCTTTATGCTATTAGGCACTTCGCTCAGGTATAGTACAATCCAGTTTTGGCCTGAAGGAATGGATTTTCTGCTTTACCTTATAAAATTGCCCTTATAAAACTGTGTAGACAATAGGGTGCAACTGATTAAATTCAACATCATAAATCTGTTTTGGAGCCATATATCTTTTTCAGTGAAAAAAGTCAAAGCTACACAAATATCTACTCTCAAGATTTTCATAAAGTGAGAACAATTTGGTAGTTATACTCAAAAAGCATGCAACGATATAAACTTTCTGCCTACTTTAAATCATAATGTAACTGTAATTAGTAAACAAAAATTAATTAAACAGGACAATTTTTATTTTATTACATGGGTACATGGTGAAAAAAATGCTACAAATTTTGTAAAGGTGCTTTTAGGTCTTGTGTATGACATTACTGTAAAGAACAGTAATATCTAGGTCATGCAATGTTTTTAGTAGTAGCTTTCAAATTACTCAAATAGGGTCAATTTATAGTAATTCCCAGTATCATTTTGTATTTCTATTCATTTAACTTCCTTATAGTTATGATGCTGAGAAAAAAAAAGTCTTTTTTTCCTTCTCCTATGCTTATTTCCCGTATGAATAAAATGGCCTTTAACAGAAATTCCTTAAAACACACTACAGTCATGTAGGATGATTCATTGCAGCTTGTGCTCTAATAAGACACATGTAACACTGAATAGTGCTTCTTAAACCAGTGAATAGAAGAAAAATCATAGCAACTTGATGACTTTGTCACAGAAACAACATAGAACAACTTGCTTGCCTTGCTCACTACTGCCTTTAGCTTCTACCCTAATACCAACAGAAGTGGTTAGACATTTCTAAATACACTATTTTACTTTTTTTTTTCTTCTGCCAAAGCCCACATATTTACATGTAGAAAAACCTGGACAAAATTATTCCTTCTGATATCAGTAACTGAATGCATCTGTAACTTGCAAAGCACAGTAAGGTTCACAGCTTTGGGTTCACTGAACAAAATGCCATTTCCACAAAAAAAATCATCATTCCCATTTCACATAAGTTCTACTTAAAAACCTACTTATCTGTCACAGAAAATGTTTTTCATATCTAAAATGCAATGTTGTCTTATTTTAAAATTATTTCCTATCTAAAAATACATCAGTTTCCATATTGACTTTCACCGAGAACTAGAAAAATAACGCAAAATTTTTTTAAATTGCAAGGAAAATATATATTCTTGAAACTGCAAATTACTGTGTTATATAACAATGTCAGAAGATGTGTATACTTCAAGTGTGATGCAAAAAGTTACTAGCAGGTCATCTCACTTCTACTAAATTTCCACAGAGGAACTTGGAAGACTTGGGGAGTTCAACACAAGATCAATTAATAATGTTGCTTCTGTTTCCTCATATTCTTAGCGTATTTCAGACACATTCACTCATTATTTACATTTTTAAGCTGCAGACACCTTGTAGAAATAGGCTTTTTTCGCAGTTAAGCTATGCGAATACATCTTTGATGTGCAAACCCCATAACATTATTACCAATCTGCATTAGTTTGGGATGACAACAGGCACAGCTGATGAGCTGCACTGCCTCATTCACACAGCAAAAAAAAAGCTGGTCATCCATCTCTTTTTCCTACATATGCACACAGGCACCTACATTTGTAACTACCATCAAGTCTGTTAACTTTGTCAGGAATTAATTTGTGGGGGTAGAAAGGTTGGCAATAGTTTATTGTGCAACACTGTGAACACCTGCAATAAAATCAGCAGCATCACTGAAGAGTGATCTGGAAGAAAGAGTAATCTGGAAGAAACTGTATGCTTTTAGGAGCAAAAACTGAATACAGGAGGAGTCGCATCTCTGACTGCAGATCATCAACTACATAATTAATTTGTTAAATCCCTGACTGTGCACTGCTGCTTAAGGCACAAGGCATCTGTGTTAGCCTCTCTAAAATGACTGGTTCAAGAGTTTATCTTAAGAGAAATAAGAGATCAATTTGATTCTGTGTAAGATAAATTATTTTACTACATATAGCACCTAGAAAGTTAATTACCCAAATCTTCTTACCACCTGTCACTTAGAATGAAATGACCACATAAGGTCTTTAGCAAAGAACAAATCCTGGGGAATTAAGTCTTGGGCTCATAATGCATTAGAAATAGAACAGCTTCCTTCCCACTGCCCACGTTCAATGAATTTGTACTCACCCTCTGAGTGATGGTTTTTCCCTCTTTGACTTCCACTGCCAATCCAAGATCAGACAGTCTGCAGTTACCGTTATCATCCAGGAGGACATTTTCTGGTTTCATGTCCCGATACAGAATCTTGATAGAATGGAGATGCAGAATCCCACAGGTGATCTGAGCTGAGTAAAAGATGACCCTGTTCACTTCCAAACCCCTTTCTCCCACATTGTAGATGTGATACTTCAGATCCCCTCCATTCATGAGACTCATGACAAGACACAGATGGCTTTTGCTTTCATATGCATAAGCTAGTGTGACTATGAAAGGGCTGTTGACCTTCTCCAGGATCTCTTTCTCCAGTAGTGCCATCTTCTCCCCACCTTTCTTTTTCAACCTTTTCTTATCCAGTTTCTTGCAGGCATACATCTTCCCAGTATTCTTCACCTGGATAGCACATACCTAGAAAAGCAAGATGCACACGGAAAGGTAATGAAGGAATTTTGCACATACCGACTGGAATATCAAGGATAGTAAGGGGCAGGAACTGGTGAATCACAGACGCCTATTAGTAGCTGCCAAAGCCAACTTCTGTGGCAGAGTATATTAGCAAGGAATACAAGGAAAAAACATTGCAAGCATGCAATGTGTTCTGTTCCAGACCTTATGCAAAACTCTTGAGGATACCATTAGTAGACATCCATTAGCAAACAAAATGAAGAACAGTTACTTTCTGACAACAGACTCTCCAACTGTGAGAATAAGTGGCATATACAACTTACATCTGTATAGCTATCCCCTCCTCCACCTCCGAAAAAGGCAGCCTTACTCATACTGCACTTTGGCAACAGATCCTGATCTGTGCTATTCTCTAAACTGCAGCTAGGAATTACCTGGGAGTATGAGAGCTAGCACAGACTAAAATATGTCAAGGAGCAGACTGGTAACTACATGGATAGTCATGCAAGCTTTTGTGAAGGGGCCTGCCTTTTACCAGTGCAGATACAGAATGTCAAAATTTTAGAGTAGCTCTTCACTAACAAGCATCTGGAGCCTGTGTAACAGCATAGATAACAAACTCAGCCTAATTTCTCGGAAATGGACCATCTGAAGAAGCAAGTTTTGCAAAACCTTAGACAATGTCTTAAACCATTGCCAAGTTCATCTTTGCAAACCCATCTGCAGGTCTCGAAAGGAGAAGACCCACATCCTTAAAGTATAGCTCTTACCTCTCCGAAGCCACCTTTGCCCAGCACACGGAATTCATAGAAGTATTTCTCAGTTACTGGTTGCTTCTCAAAAACTTTCCATTGGAGAAATTTGTCATATAAGGGGCTAGTCTGGAAGTCCTGGAAGGGCTTGTCTTTAAGAAATTGTTTGGTTTCCTCCTTCACCAGCTGCACAACAGCTTCGTAGTCTTTCGCAGTAGCTGCCTGGCATTTGCTGGCCAAGTCAGAACTCATGAAAGCCAGATAGTTTTTGGAGCCTGTCTTAAGAAAATTGGTGAAGATATTCTCCATGGTACTGCTCTTGATGTTGTCCTCTGCCAACTCCCAGTTTGACAACTCATCCAGGAAGTCCCTAGCTACCACATATTCTGGCACTGTCTCTAAAAAGTCTCTGAAGAATCTCTTGCCAATTGGCTGCTGCTCACAGATGTTTTCATAATCAACAACAAGAGACTGCCTAACCTCTCCACATTGCTCAATCTTGGGCAGTGAGAGGCTCCTACGCCTCTTTTGCATCTCCTTGGCATCTGCATCTCCACTCTTCCTTGCCTGCAAATAGGCTGTGTTGGCAATCAGGTTGTCAAGTCCCCCCATGTCACACATTTTGGCAAGCTCTTGGGGTGGCAGAGCCTTCTTGAGACAAAATGAGTAACTGGCCCAAGTGCTGTGCTGTAGCTACCCTGCACTTCTCCCTGCTAGTGGTTTCGGAGAGTTTCTGAAGAACACTAGAAAGATTAACTGCTTTTGCATTAAATACCTCTCAAGGATTTTCACTAAGTACCTTTAGGTATATGCACCATTTGTGGAAAGTGACTGGTAAGAGGTTTCTCTCTAAGTAGCTTGGAGTTTGCTATGTATAGCTGAGGGATGACATCCTAGGCCAACCTTCTCACTGGCAGCACCAAATGCATGACGTTCAGCTGGTTTTTCAGAATGGGCCCTCATAACCTTTACAAGTATCAAAGGTTCCCTCTGTATGCACTGTCCCTGGCTACTGAGAACACGCAAAGACACACACGCTTCAGAATCAAGGGCATTCTGGCCACAGTTAAGATGACAGTCTTGCTCGACACAGAGAACACCAGTGTACTATGAATTACGTAAATTGGCATCTGCTTTTTTATAAAAAGCTTTTATCTGCCATGCCTGAAACAGAAGTTGACACAGACAAACATGAGTCACTGAGCTTTAAATTACCACACAATTCAGTGCTTTCAGCATCCACACTTTCCAAACTCAGGTTATACTAAACATCAGGGACTCTAAGCTCAAGAGACACTTTGATGCACACCTTGATGCCTCATGTGGCTCTATCTGAGCAGATTACATGCTAAGACCTGCTGCTGGTCTAAAAATAATGATCCCTAAATATGAAACAACATAGGAGTTCTGACTTCAGCTCCAACACACAGAAAAAGGAAAAATACCTCAAATGACCAGTCAAATCTTGCCAAGACAATCCCATATGTTATGATGGCCCCGGTTTATTTTCCCTGCTGAGCTTCATGACAGTAAGTAGCAGGATGAGAATGCAGCAAAAGCGTATGGTTGAGGTGGCATCAACAAAGGGACAAAGGTGATTATAATCAAGTCAAGGCAAATTCCACCTGACTTCATTCACTGGCTGCCTACCAGGAAGCCTGTCCCGTTATTTTCCCAAAAGAATAAAACTAATGTGGCATTTACTAGGCTGAGACCCCGTTCTGTTGTGGGGTCATGTGATTTGGCTGCTAAAACTTTAAATATAAGGGAAGTATTATGGGTTCCATGACTCTCCCAGTAACAGTGGGGTCAAGCTGGACTCTTGAGGTCAAGGTCAAGTCTTCTTCTCTCTTCTTTAACTTTTAGAGCAAGTTGAAGAGCTGAACTGCAAACACTAAACATCAGGAGTAACAGGCACCCCCTCAGACTCCCTACAGTAAGCACTAAGCCCTTCTTGGCTGCTTTTTGCAGCGTAGTACTGCATAGTATTTTGTTTTTACAAGCTTAATCCTGCCTGTATTGAATCCATTTGACACATAACTCATGCTTACACTCTACAAAATGACTGTGGAAGTGCATTACTCTAGGTGTGATGGAGAGGGCCATCCACTGCAAATTGCTGTCTGTGCACAAGAATGTGTTGTGGTGTCAAGCAGAGTATTTTGAAGTGTTGTTCATACAGTAGTCACTAATTCTGCCAGGTAAATGCACAGGGCAGGAGGAGATTATGTAAAGGGCTAAATAATGCAGCCAGCAGAGCAAGGGAAAGTGAAAAAAGTCAAAAGAAAAGCAAAATTCTGCTGATGGCTTTCCTGAAAATCACGCCCACTGCAACATACTGTAATATCCTGGGTACAGAAAGGCATGAAAGGAGGTAATAAAAGCTTTAATTTCAGGTCCTAAAACTCAGCAGGGTCTTTTTACACTTAGCAGG